AAAAAAAAAAAAAAAAAGAAAAGAAAAGAAAAAACAAAAGAGCAATGGCCGGACACCAGCCTAGAAAGACAGCCCAGACGCCGGATAGGAGATAACAGTTCTCATTCTCGTTCACCTGAGCCTGGCGGAGATCATTAGGAACTACAATACCCATGATGCCTGGGGAGCAACGGCCTTGAGAATATGGAAAGACAGCCCTGAAGCCCGATGGGAGATGTAGTCCCCTTCTCACCTCTCTGCTCACCTGTGTTCTGGGTTCCTGACTCCAGTGCTGGGGACTCCTGGGGGGCTTTCCTCCTCCAGCCTCAGAGGGAGGTCCTCGGCGGGGAGTGGGGGGCCGGGAGAGGGTCTGGCGTTGGGAGCTCCAATCCAGAGGAGGCCGGACATCGATGCGACTCAGCGGGGTGTGAGGCCGTGCTGTGTCTCCTGAGGGGGCAGGGGGTCGCCGCGCAGGAGCAGAACGGGGACGGGGGAGACTGAGAGGTGAGGGAGGGCGAGAGAGTGGGGTGAACAGACTGTGGGAAGGAGAGAATCGGGGAACTGAGTCAACTAGAGCCCTCTCCATCAAGTTAACCTCAAGGATATGCCTCAGTCACTGTGTCTTACTGTCCCCTCTGGGTTAGAATTCTCCTCTACCGTCCAAATCCTCAATAATGTCCGCTTTGTGGCATCTTCCCCTTCAATTTTCTCCCCGACAGGTTGTGACCCCCACGCGAGCCCCGGCAAGTCACAGACACTCAGGCACTCAGGCGGAAAGCGCTAAGGCCCGCCCCCAACCACTTCCCGGCCCCGCCCTTCTCCTAGGCCACGCCCCCAACCCTGTCCTCCCTACTCACTCGGGGCTCCTCGCCCTCCGTATCTGGAGTCCAGACTGGAGGTCGGTTGTGGGGCTGGGAGTGAGCAGCCTGGGTCTACCACGACCTCTGGAGAGTCGAGCCACCTCCGGTGATTCTGAGATGCGCCCCTCTTCCCCTCTGCTCACCTCTGGGGGACCACCGGGGCCGCCAGGGCCCTCCCCAGGCTGGGGACGTGCGGGTGACCTGCGTTGCCCACTAGCGAGTGGGCACAGAAAAGATATCGCTCCTTTGAACTTCATAACAGCCTTTTTCTGTTATCACAGGTGAGAATACAAGGATGCACCCAAAAAAAGGGAAGTTGTGCCCTATAAATCATCATCCCTCTTTTGCAGATGGGGAAACTGAGGACTCCAGTGTGGAACTGATCTGCGCACCAGGCCACAATGTCTATCCGGGTCGCTGGACCCAATGCCCCGGAATATGGGATAGACTCAGCCAGAGAGTCCAGTTTCCAGCCTGATAATTGACGCAGGCCATGACAGAGCCTACGAGATAGTCTGACATTTTTTAAAAATCTGACACTATCTTTTACCTGGCATTAAATAATGCCACCTAAACAGGCGGCAGCTCAGGGTATGGAGACTTCAGAAGGAGCCTATCAAAGAATGTGGAATGTTGATCATTCCTGGGGCAGAGCTAAGTGCATGATTGAAAGGTCAGCTTGGGGGCGGGGACGGACAAGATGGTGGGCGGAGCTTAAGGGAGAAAGACTTTTGCTGATTGGAAGAGCTGACGTTCCCGGGAGGCTGCAGCTTGGCTAGAAGACTGGTGATTGGACACTCAAGGGGGCAGGGCCTCAAAGGGGAGGAGTTGGGATGATTAGACTGACCCAGGGTGGAGGTGCAGGATCAGGAGCATGGCCTGGGCCTCTACTCACAAGTCGTCCCCCTCCGCTCGGGAGGCCCGGCCCAGCGCCCGTAGCCAGCCCCGCAGGTCTTCTAAGGTGTCAGCGGCCAAAACGTAGGTCCTCATGCCCGGATGCTCTGCCTGCGGGAAGAGAGGGCTTGGAATCCGGACTCCTTGTGAAAAGGAGGACAGGGCGGATAGTGGTTGACTCCCATAAACTTAGTGCTTTGGGAGACCGAGGCAGGAGGATCGTTGGACACCAGCCTGGTCAGCATAGTGAGACCGCTCCTGTCTCTAAAAAAAAAAAAATAATAAATCAAAAAAGTAGCCATGCACCTGTTACTCGGGGGGCTGAGAGAGGAAGACTGTAGTTTGCCTCACTGCACTCGGGCCTGGGTGATAGAGCCAGAATGGAAAGACGAGAGAGAGAGAGAGTGACAGAGAGAGAGAGAGAGAGAGAGGAAAGAAAGAAAAGGAGAAAGAAAGAAAGAGAAAGAAAGGAGAGAAATGAGAAAGAGAAAGAAAGGAGGAGAAGAGAGAAAGAAAACAAAAGAAAAACTGGCCAGGCATGGTGGCTCACTCCTGTAATCCCAGCACTTTGGGAGGCAGAGGAGGGTTGGGTCACCTGAGGTCAGGAGTTCAAGACCAGCCTGGCCAACATGGTGAAACCCCGTCTGTACTAAAAATACAAAAATTAGCCAGGCATGGTGGCGTGCACCTGTAATCCCAGCTACTCTGGAGGCTGAGGCAAGAGAATCGCTTGAACTCAGGAGCCAGAGATTGCAATGAGCCAAAATCATCCCATTGCACTCCAGCCTGGGTGACAAAGTGAGACTCTGTCTCAAAAAACAACAACAAAACAAAACAAAAAAACAGGAGGATGTGATGGACCCCTGTGAAGACTTTTAATCTCCAGTAATGGATTCTCCAGTGCTTGTTGGGACTTGGAGTTTCCTCCACAGATATCTACCCGCCCTCATCTCCCGTTCCCATCACTTGGGACACAACACGGATGGAGGGACTCACGGTGAAGGTGAAGCGCCGCCCTCGGGGGGCTCCCGGCCCATCTGGCCTAATATTGTAGCTGGGGAGCAGGACGCTGCCCAGGACGCTCTCCTCGCGGCTGTCTGCAAAGAGGGGCTAGGGTCAAGGATCACACAGGGATTGGGAGGCCAAGAGGCTAGAGAGAAGGGCAGCTGGGGGGCCCTCCCACCCAAGCCAGCCAGCCACTGACCCTTGTAATAAAAGAGGCAGTGGCCGGAGAGGACAAACCAGCGGCGTTTCCATAGACGGAGCCCCGAGCTGTCCTGGGGAGAGAGATGGGATGAGGGGCCTGAGTCAAGGAAACAGAAAAAGGAGATGAAGGCACTGACAATGGGGACAGAAATGAACTTGGAGGGAGCAGAACAGAGACATAGATGGCGGATCAACGGAGTGGGATGAGGCTGGGCGCAATGGCTCACGCCTGTAATCCCAGCACATTGAGAGGCCGAGGCGGGCAGATCACTCCATTCCAGGAGTTTGAAAACAGCTTGGGCAACATGGTGAAACTCCATCTCTACTAAAAATGCAAAAATTAGCATGGTGCAGTGTGCCTGTAGTCCTAGCTACTCCAAAGGCTGAGGAGGGAGGATCACTTGAGCCTGGGAGTGGGGTGGAGGCACAGGAGAAAGATCCAGAGAGCAAGAAAAGACAGAGACAGATGTTGGGGGCATTGGAGGGGATCAGCTGAAGAGCTGGAAACTCTCTGAACACAGTAGAATAGAACAGAAGCCCTACTTCTGTTACAAGTGTGGTGGCTGAGCTCACATAGATTCTGGACACACTTGAACCTGAGATCTACTGTTACCTCCCCCACTTTCTTTTCTTTATTTTTTGTTTTTTGTTTGAGACAGAGCCTGGTTCTGTAGCTCAAGGTGGAGTGCAATGGCATGATCTTGGCTCACTGCAACCTCCTCCTCATAGGTTCAAGTGATTCTCCTGCCTCAGCCTCCTGAGTAGCTGGGATTACAGACACACACCACCACACCTGGCTATTTTAGTAGAGATGGGTTTAGTATTTTTAGTAGAGATGGGTTTCACCATGTTGGCCAGGCTGGTCTTGAACTCCTGACCTCAAGTGATCCACCCACTTTGGCCTCCCAAAGTGCTGGGATTACAGGCATGAGCCACTGCGTCTGGCCTCCCCCACTATCTTAATTTTCTTTTCGTTTTTTTTTTTTGGGATGGAGTTTCTCTTTTGTTGCCCAGGCTGGAGTACAATGGTGCTATCTTGGCTCACTGCAACCTCTGCCTCCTGGTTCGAGATTCTCCTGCCTCAGACTCCCGAGTAGCTGGGATTATAGGCATCCACCACCACACCCAGCTAATTTTTTTGTATTTTTAGTAGAGATGGTGTTTCCCCATGTTGGCCAGACTGGTCTCAAACTCCTGACCTCAAGTGATCCACCCGCCTCAGCCTCCCAGAGTGCTGGGATTACAGGCGTGAGCCATGGCACCTGTCACTAAGAAACTGGCATGTCTGGTGGCTCACGCCTGTAATCCCAGCACTTTGGGAGGCCGAGGCGGGAGGATCACAAGGTCAAGAGATCAAGACTATCCTGGCTAACATGATGAAACCCCATCTCTTCTAAAAATACAAAAATTAGCTGGGCATGGTGGCACGAACCTGTAGTCCCAGCTACTCTGGAGGCTAAGGCAGGAGAATCACTTGAATCACCTGCCTTAGGTTCAAGTGGAGGTGAAGGTTGCAGTGACCTGAGATCACACCACTGCACTCCAGCCTGGGCAACAGAGCGAGACTCTGTTTGAAAAAGAAAAAGAAATTGGCATGTCTTCGTGACAAATAGTAGAGTGGGTGTGTCCATCATTTAGGTGCTTTAGAAAATATTTTGAGGTTCAGAATTGGGCCCTCTCAACTTCCTCAACTACCTGCTCTCCAGCTGTGGGGACACAGAGGGTGATAATAAAGGCACCGGCCTGGCAAAACAGCCCAAGGGGATGATGGAATTTGCTACTCTCATTCTCAGATTTGTGGTCAGCTATGGATATTCTGAGCTACAGTCCAATGATGCTCAGAGAAAACAGCAGGCAACCAACTTGCAAAGTAAGCTAAGAACACAAGGGAGATGTAAACCCCTCACCGCACTGTCTTGGCATAGAGTATCCTGGACTGCGATCCCATGATGCTTAAAGAGTAATGGCTGGGTGGGGTACGGTGGCTCACGTCTGTAATCCTAGCACTTTAGAGGGTGAATTGAGAGGATCACCTGAGGTCAGGAGTTCCAGACCAGCTTGGCCAACATGGTGAAACCTCGTCTCTCCTAAAAATACAAAAATCAACAGGTGGATGCCTGTAATCCCAGCTACTCGGGAGGCTGAGGCAGGAGAATCGCTTGAACCCAGGAGGCAGAGGTTGCAGTGAGCCGAGATCGTGCCACTGCACTCTAGCCTGGGCGACAGAGCAAGACTCCGTCTCAAAAAAAAAAAAAAAAAAAAAAAAAAAAAAACAAAAAAAAAAAAAAAAAAAAAAAGAAAAGAAAAGAAAAAACAAAAGAGCAATGGCCGGACACCAGCCTAGAAAGACAGCCCAGACGCCGGATAGGAGATAACAGTTCTCATTCTCGTTCACCTGAGCCTGGCGGAGATCATTAGGAACTACAATACCCATGATGCCTGGGGAGCAACGGCCTTGAGAATATGGAAAGACAGCCCTGAAGCCCGATGGGAGATGTAGTCCCCTTCTCACCTCTCTGCTCACCTGTGTTCTGGGTTCCTGACTCCAGTGCTGGGGACTCCTGGGGGGCTTTCCTCCTCCAGCCTCAGAGGGAGGTCCTCGGCGGGGAGTGGGGGGCCGGGAGAGGGTCTGGCGTTGGGAGCTCCAATCCAGAGGAGGCCGGACATCGATGCGACTCAGCGGGGTGTGAGGCCGTGCTGTGTCTCCTGAGGGGGCAGGGGGTCGCCGCGCAGGAGCAGAACGGGGACGGGGGAGACTGAGAGGTGAGGGAGGGCGAGAGAGTGGGGTGAACAGACTGTGGGAAGGAGAGAATCGGGGAACTGAGTCAACTAGAGCCCTCTCCATCAAGTTAACCTCAAGGATATGCCTCAGTCACTGTGTCTTACTGTCCCCTCTGGGTTAGAATTCTCCTCTACCGTCCAAATCCTCAATAATGTCCGCTTTGTGGCATCTTCCCCTTCAATTTTCTCCCCGACAGGTTGTGACCCCCACGCGAGCCCCGGCAAGTCACAGACACTCAGGCACTCAGGCGGAAAGCGCTAAGGCCCGCCCCCAACCACTTCCCGGCCCCGCCCTTCTCCTAGGCCACGCCCCCAACCCTGTCCTCCCTACTCACTCGGGGCTCCTCGCCCTCCGTATCTGGAGTCCAGACTGGAGGTCGGTTGTGGGGCTGGGAGTGAGCAGCCTGGGTCTACCACGACCTCTGGAGAGTCGAGCCACCTCCGGTGATTCTGAGATGCGCCCCTCTTCCCCTCTGCTCACCTCTGGGGGACCACCGGGGCCGCCAGGGCCCTCCCCAGGCTGGGGACGTGCGGGTGACCTGCGTTGCCCACTAGCGAGTGGGCACAGAAAAGATATCGCTCCTTTGAACTTCATAACAGCCTTTTTCTGTTATCACAGGTGAGAATACAAGGATGCACCCAAAAAAAGGGAAGTTGTGCCCTATAAATCATCATCCCTCTTTTGCAGATGGGGAAACTGAGGACTCCAGTGTGGAACTGATCTGCGCACCAGGCCACAATGTCTATCCGGGTCGCTGGACCCAATGCCCCGGAATATGGGATAGACTCAGCCAGAGAGTCCAGTTTCCAGCCTGATAATTGACGCAGGCCATGACAGAGCCTACGAGATAGTCTGACATTTTTTAAAAATCTGACACTATCTTTTACCTGGCATTAAATAATGCCACCTAAACAGGCGGCAGCTCAGGGTATGGAGACTTCAGAAGGAGCCTATCAAAGAATGTGGAATGTTGATCATTCCTGGGGCAGAGCTAAGTGCATGATTGAAAGGTCAGCTTGGGGGCGGGGACGGACAAGATGGTGGGCGGAGCTTAAGGGAGAAAGACTTTTGCTGATTGGAAGAGCTGACGTTCCCGGGAGGCTGCAGCTTGGCTAGAAGACTGGTGATTGGACACTCAAGGGGGCAGGGCCTCAAAGGGGAGGAGTTGGGATGATTAGACTGACCCAGGGTGGAGGTGCAGGATCAGGAGCATGGCCTGGGCCTCTACTCACAAGTCGTCCCCCTCCGCTCGGGAGGCCCGGCCCAGCGCCCGTAGCCAGCCCCGCAGGTCTTCTAAGGTGTCAGCGGCCAAAACGTAGGTCCTCATGCCCGGATGCTCTGCCTGCGGGAAGAGAGGGCTTGGAATCCGGACTCCTTGTGAAAAGGAGGACAGGGCGGATAGTGGTTGACTCCCATAAACTTAGTGCTTTGGGAGACCGAGGCAGGAGGATCGTTGGACACCAGCCTGGTCAGCATAGTGAGACCGCTCCTGTCTCTAAAAAAAAAAAAATAATAAATCAAAAAAGTAGCCATGCACCTGTTACTCGGGGGGCTGAGAGAGGAAGACTGTAGTTTGCCTCACTGCACTCGGGCCTGGGTGATAGAGCCAGAATGGAAAGACGAGAGAGAGAGAGAGTGACAGAGAGAGAGAGAGAGAGAGAGGAAAGAAAGAAAAGGAGAAAGAAAGAAAGAGAAAGAAAGGAGAGAAATGAGAAAGAGAAAGAAAGGAGGAGAAGAGAGAAAGAAAACAAAAGAAAAACTGGCCAGGCATGGTGGCTCACTCCTGTAATCCCAGCACTTTGGGAGGCAGAGGAGGGTTGGGTCACCTGAGGTCAGGAGTTCAAGACCAGCCTGGCCAACATGGTGAAACCCCGTCTGTACTAAAAATACAAAAATTAGCCAGGCATGGTGGCGTGCACCTGTAATCCCAGCTACTCTGGAGGCTGAGGCAAGAGAATCGCTTGAACTCAGGAGCCAGAGATTGCAATGAGCCAAAATCATCCCATTGCACTCCAGCCTGGGTGACAAAGTGAGACTCTGTCTCAAAAAACAACAACAAAACAAAACAAAAAAACAGGAGGATGTGATGGACCCCTGTGAAGACTTTTAATCTCCAGTAATGGATTCTCCAGTGCTTGTTGGGACTTGGAGTTTCCTCCACAGATATCTACCCGCCCTCATCTCCCGTTCCCATCACTTGGGACACAACACGGATGGAGGGACTCACGGTGAAGGTGAAGCGCCGCCCTCGGGGGGCTCCCGGCCCATCTGGCCTAATATTGTAGCTGGGGAGCAGGACGCTGCCCAGGACGCTCTCCTCGCGGCTGTCTGCAAAGAGGGGCTAGGGTCAAGGATCACACAGGGATTGGGAGGCCAAGAGGCTAGAGAGAAGGGCAGCTGGGGGGCCCTCCCACCCAAGCCAGCCAGCCACTGACCCTTGTAATAAAAGAGGCAGTGGCCGGAGAGGACAAACCAGCGGCGTTTCCATAGACGGAGCCCCGAGCTGTCCTGGGGAGAGAGATGGGATGAGGGGCCTGAGTCAAGGAAACAGAAAAAGGAGATGAAGGCACTGACAATGGGGACAGAAATGAACTTGGAGGGAGCAGAACAGAGACATAGATGGCGGATCAACGGAGTGGGATGAGGCTGGGCGCAATGGCTCACGCCTGTAATCCCAGCACATTGAGAGGCCGAGGCGGGCAGATCACTCCATTCCAGGAGTTTGAAAACAGCTTGGGCAACATGGTGAAACTCCATCTCTACTAAAAATGCAAAAATTAGCATGGTGCAGTGTGCCTGTAGTCCTAGCTACTCCAAAGGCTGAGGAGGGAGGATCACTTGAGCCTGGGAGTGGGGTGGAGGCACAGGAGAAAGATCCAGAGAGCAAGAAAAGACAGAGACAGATGTTGGGGGCATTGGAGGGGATCAGCTGAAGAGCTGGAAACTCTCTGAACACAGTAGAATAGAACAGAAGCCCTACTTCTGTTACAAGTGTGGTGGCTGAGCTCACATAGATTCTGGACACACTTGAACCTGAGATCTACTGTTACCTCCCCCACTTTCTTTTCTTTATTTTTTGTTTTTTGTTTGAGACAGAGCCTGGTTCTGTAGCTCAAGGTGGAGTGCAATGGCATGATCTTGGCTCACTGCAACCTCCTCCTCATAGGTTCAAGTGATTCTCCTGCCTCAGCCTCCTGAGTAGCTGGGATTACAGACACACACCACCACACCTGGCTATTTTAGTAGAGATGGGTTTAGTATTTTTAGTAGAGATGGGTTTCACCATGTTGGCCAGGCTGGTCTTGAACTCCTGACCTCAAGTGATCCACCCACTTTGGCCTCCCAAAGTGCTGGGATTACAGGCATGAGCCACTGCGTCTGGCCTCCCCCACTATCTTAATTTTCTTTTCGTTTTTTTTTTTTGGGATGGAGTTTCTCTTTTGTTGCCCAGGCTGGAATGCAATGTTGTGATCTTGGCCGACCAAAACCTCCGCCTCCCAGATTCAAAGGATTCTTCTGACTCAGCCTCCCGAGTAGCTGGGATTACAGACAAATCAAAAATACAAAGATTAGCTGGGCGTGGTGACACATGCCTGTAGTCCCAGCTACTCAGGAAGCTGAGGCAGGAGAATTGCTTGAATCTGGGAGGCGGAGGTTGCAGTGAGCTGAGATGACACAGCTGCACTCCAGCCTGGCGACAGAGCGAGACTCCATCCAAAAAAAAAAAAAGAAGTTGTCAAGAAATAGCCAGATGTGGTGGCTCACACCTGTAATCCAAGCATTTTAGAAGGCTGAAGCAGGTGGATCATTTAAGGTCAGCAGTTTGAGACCACTCTGGCCAACATGGTAAAACCCTGTCTCTACTGAAATACAAAAATTAGCTAGTCATGCCTGTAAACCCAACTAGTTGGGAGGCTGAGGCAGAAGAATCGCTTGAACCCCAGGGGCAGGGGTTGCAGTGAGTCGAGATCTCACCACTGCGATCTCAGCTCACTGCAACCTCCGCCTCCCAGGTTCAAGCAATTTTCCTGCCTCAGCTTCCCGAGTATCTGGGACTACAGCCATTCTTTCATCAAACGAATGAAACAATGACAGAATAAGGGGAGGGGCAGTGATAGCAAGAAAAAGAAAGCCTATTTGGGGACTTGGAAGGAGAGAGACAGAGGACAGCCAGGGGCACAGACACGAGTGTCCTTTTCCTTCTCCCACTGACCCCACCTGCTTGTGAAGCCAGCCGCGGATGTGCACGGGCAGGTTGGGGTCCCTCCTCAGCGCATTGCCCCTCTTCCCAAAGGCATGGACCTTGTTTACTGGCCGGGTGGGCTTCTGAGGAGAGAAGGGAACAGAGTGAACAGGGAGAGCCTAGGATGGGCCCGGGAGGCGGTGAGGGGAACACAGGCAACTGTAGTTCTCACTTGGCTGCCCTGAGAAATGGGTCAAGGACCAGCCGGGCACTGTGGCTCATGCCTGTAATCCCAGCACTTTGGGAGGCTGAGGCAGGAGGATCACATGAGGCCAGGAGTTTGAGGCCAGCCTGGCCAACATGGTGAAACCCCCGTTTCTACTCAAAATATAAAAATTAGCCAGGCGCAGTAGTGTGTGTTCATAGTCCCAGCTACTCAGGAGGCTGAGGCACAAGAATCTCTTAAACACAGGAATCAGAGGTTGCAGTGAGCCAAGATTGTGCCACCGCACTCCAGCCTGGGCCACAGAGCGAGACTCCATTTAAAAAAAAAAAAGAAAGAAAGAAAAAGGTCAAGGTGGGGGCTGAGTTTGGAGATCAGAATTGGGAGGTACTTCCAAAGGAGGGCCTTGGGGATCTGAACTAGGACTACGGGCTGGGAGGTCCCCATAATCAGGGAGAACTCTCATGCTGATGAATTCACCAGTGATGAATCCTGGTAAATCGAAGGATGCCTTAGTGCCCTGCGGTCACACCCCTTAGCAACCAAGTCCAAGGAGAGGAATCCTCAAATCCCTCCATCCTCCGGGGATGGGGCCACGCCTCCCAACGCACCCAGATGTCTCAGACAGCCTCAGCCAGGTCCCCACTATATGCCCTTCCCTGGAAGCAGTGATACTGACCAAGGCTGAGATCAAATCTATGGGCTCTCAACTTGGGAAATAAAATGAGTGGAATGGCAGAAGGAAAAAGAAATGAGTGTCATCCCTACGCTTTGGGCTGGGATACAAGTATCTGAGGGCCCCTTGGGTCTTATTGTCAGAGAAGGTCTTTCCTTATAGGATTTCTTTTTTTCCTTTTCTTTTTTAGAGACACGGTTTCACAGTGTTGGCCAGGCTGGTCTCAAACTCCTGACCTTGGGTGATCCGCCCGCCTCAGTCACCCAAAGTGCTGGGATGACAGGCATGAACCACCACACCCGGCCTTTTTTTTTTTTTTTTTTTTGAGATGGAGTCTCACTCTGTTGCCCAGGCTTGAGTGCAGTGGTGCCATCTCGGCTCACTGCAACCTCCGCCTCCCAGGTTCAAGCAGTTCTCCTGCCTCAGCCTCCTGAGTAGTTGGGATTACAGGCACGTACCACCATGCCCAGCTAATTTTTGTATAGTGGAGACGGCGTTTCACCATGTTGGCCAGGCTGGTCTTGAACTCCTGACCTCAGGATCCACCCGCCTCGGCCCCCCCAAATTGCTGGGATTACAAGCGTGAGCCACGGTGCCTGGCCCTCCTTACAGGATTTCTTTAGTGGGTAGATTGGATGGCGAGAGATAGGACAGCAAGTTCTAGCACTAATCAAGAGCAGCCACTACTTCTGAGAACTCGAGGGGCCTCACAGCTGAGGAGTGGCTTTATGTTAGCAACCAGGGTCAAAGGGGGTTGTTACTCTGGTTTAGAATTAGGAAAACACAAGGGGTGGGGACAGAGCTGGGAGTGCCTCTGAATTCCTAGCTGTGGCTGGTAGGCGATTCGGGACCTTGCTATGTCTGGCAGACCCGGTTGCTAAGGATCCTTGTCCTTAACCAGAGTCCTTGGGGAGACAGAGGGATGGGCGGCCCGGGGCCCCACCTTCCTCCCCATCCCCGCCAGGAAGCTCGAACCTTGGGGCTCAGGCTGTTGAGTGAGGAGATGGTGGAAGCGCTGCTGGCCAGGCTCAGGCTGCTGCGAGGTCGGCTCCCCTCCATCGAGGGCTGGGGGAGAGAAAGAAAGGGGCTGTGTCTCTGCAGTGACGGGTGCAGGACAGAGATGGGGTCAGGGGCTTGGAAGTCGGAGGAGGCTGAGGAGAAAGAGCCTGTTGTTTCGGGACTGGGGGGCTGGGGGAGGCCATGGCCCGTGACCACATACCAAGAGTGATGCCAAGAGAGGTAGGCGGCCCTGGCAGCTGTGGGAGGGGGCAGCTGTCTGCAGCCCAGGCAGGAGAATAGGGGCTCCTTTATTCCTGCCCACTGGACTCAGGACAGGAATTTGACCCTCTCTGTGCTTAAGGACCCCCCCATTCCCTGCCTCCTTCCTGCTGTCCCCAGCTACCTGTCTCCCGCCCTCCCACACGCACCCCCAAACCATCCCTGCCAATTCCCCAAGCCAAGTCGTGCAGCACCAGGAATGTGCACCCAGAGAGCCCCTCCCAGCGCAGCCAGGGAACTTACCCAGCTCTGGGGTCCCGATGACAGGGGCAAGGGGCACCCAGGCAGTCTCCCGCCTCCTTTGTCTCTTAGCGGCTGTCTCTCATCGTGCTAGATCTCTCTTCACCTGCTCACTCGCACTTTTTGCTTCTGTCTCCCGTCTCTTATGGGCTCTCTGTCTCTCTCTCTCTCTTCCTTTACACTCTGTCTCTCCCCAGTCCCACCCTCTGTGTCTCTCGCTGATCTCTGTCTCTTCCAGTCTCTCTCTCACTCATTCTCTCCCTCCCTCTCTCTCTCTCCAATCTGTTTCTGTCCAAATCTTTTATTGCCAGACTCACAGGGTCTCTTCCTTAAGTCTCTCCTTCATTCGCCCTCTCTCTCTCTCTCTATCTCTCTGTCACCCCGTTTCCTCTCTCCCTCACACCCAGTCTCTTCCTCTTTCTCTCTCTCTCCGGCTCTCCACGTCTGCCGTTTCCTCCCCTTTCTCTTTCCGATTTCCCTTCTCACTTTCTCCCTTCCTCCCTCTCCCAGTTTCTCTTTCCTCTCTGCTGGTCTTTCCCTGCCTCTGCCAGCCGCCCACGCTGCCGTTGTCCCCTCCCAATCCCGGCAGTCCCCGCCCCTTCTGGCCTCCCCACTACAGCCTGACCCCTGGCTCAGCTGCCCCCACAGCTGAGGGGAGGCGCTATGGGCCCCCCAATTCCCGGGTCCCCTAAGGACCAAGGCTGGGACTTCGCAGTGTTTGGAGAGCCGCACCTGAGGCCTGCACTCCTTGGCCCCCGTGGGTTTGCTGTGGTTGGGGGCCTGGGCCGCTGGTGTCCTAAAGGGAAGGCGCTTGTGTCTTGCAAGGGGTGGGGACACAGACTTCCAAAGCCCTGGAGCGTCTGGGTTAGGGATCCAGTCTCCTGGGTGCCGGAGAAGGCCCGAGGAGGAGTCAGGACTCCTGAGTTGTGAATGAACTGGGGATCTGGAAGCGTGGCTGTGATTGGATGGGGCCAGGGATGGTTTGTCCATGTCCTCTAGGGAGAAAACGGGGTGGTCCCAGCAGGGCAGGGTGAAAAGGAGAGTTCCAAATCTCCACCTCAGATCCGGGTGACAGTTCTCTTCTAGACTGAGGACAACTCCCTCAGGGGGGAGACATGGTTCCTTAGTATATTTTGAGGAACAAGATTATGCACCTGGGCTGGGTGCCGAGGCTCACACCTGTAATCCCAGCACTTTGGGAGGCTGAAGCGGGTGGATCGCCTGAGGTCAGGAGTTCAAGACCAGCCTGGCCAACATGGCGAAACCCCGTCTCTACTAAAAATACAAAGCCAGGTGTGGTGGTGGGTGTAAGGCCGGTTGCCTCCCCGGGAGCTCGGACACACCCATCCCTCTCCACGCCTGAAAATCACGTCACCAGAATCTTCACTCAGCATCTAGCTTCCCCACGCCCACCTCTGCCCTCAACACTAAACTCTGCAATCGGCACCTAGCCCGCCGTTGGAAAACCCCGCCAAAATTTAAAAGAAGCCCCGCCCAAACCTGCCCAATAGCGCATTACCCTATCCAGCCTGCTCACCGGAAATCCCTCCTACCTACCTATAGCAGCTTGCTACGTCACATCCTGTTTCTCCACAGCCAATCAGAGCGTCTTCCCTCCCTATATAACCCTAGGCCTGCGAGGAGTCAGGAGTGACTTCTCTGGCCCCCTTTCCCTGAACCGTAGAATCTCGTCCGGGAGCCGAATAAATTAGCGTCTAATTGTTCTCATGCAGGCCTCAGTTTCCTCATTTTAAACTCGGCAATAAACCTTACAGAGAATAAACCTTACAGTGGGTGCCTGTAATCCCAGCTACTCAAGAGTCTGAGGCAGGAGAATCGCTTGAACCCGGGAGGCAGAGGCTGCAGGGAGCTGAGATCGCACCACTACACTCCTGCCTGGGTGCCAGAGCGAGACTCTGTCTCAAAGGAAAACACGATTATGCACCCGTAGGTAGGGGAGGAGAGCTGGGGGGCTGGAACTGTAACCCCGGGCCTGGAATTTGGAGCAGAAGCCTCCAAATCACAGGCAGAGTGCTGCCCAGGCTCTTTGGGCAGGCCAAGGCCGGAGGATCACTTGAGACCAGGAGTTTAAGACCAGCCTGGGCATCATAGGGAGACCCTGTCTCTATTGAGAAAATTAACTAAAAAAAAAAAAAAAAGCAGTGAGCCCTGCAGAGTGCCTGATCTTATAGTGCTTACATCCTTGTTCTCATTTGCAAAGAATCTGGACCCTGCTGTGGACCATCTTGGTCAACTGGCTTCATTTCTAAGCCTGTTTCCCCATCTGTGAAATGGGAACAATGACACCCTCACACTTGGAGAGGAAACCGATCGGATGTGAAAATGGGAGACTCTAGGTGGGGCCTGCTGGCCAAATTGGGGTGGGAAACTGGGCGCAGTGGCTCACACCAGTAATCCCAGCACCTTGGGAAACCAAGGGGGGGCAGATCACCTGAGGTTAGGAGTTTGAGACCAGCCTGGTCAACCTGGCGAAACACTGTCTCTACTAAAAATAGAAAAATTAGCCGGGCATTGTGGCCCACGCCTGTAATCCCAGTTACTCGAGAGGCTGAGGCAGGAGAATCACTCGAACCCCGGAGGTTGAGGTTGCAGTGAGCTGAGATGATGATACTGAACTCCAACTCCAGCCTGGGTGACAGAGCAACACTCCGTCTTAAAAAATAAATAAATAGGCTGGGCATGATGGCTCACGCCTGTAATCCTAGCACTTTGGGAGGCCAAGGTGGGTGGATCACCTGAGGTCGAGAGTTCAAGGCCAGCCTGGGCAACATGGTGAAACCCATCTCTACTAAAAATACCAAAAACTGGGCGGACGAGGTGGCTGACACCAGTAATCCCAGCACTTTAGGAGGCCGAGGCAGGCGGATCACCTGAGGTCGGGAGTTCAAGACCAGCCTTACCAGCATGGAGAAACCTCGTCTCTACTAAAGATACAAAATTAGCCAGGCATTGTGGTGCATGCCTGTAATCCCAGCCACTCGGGAGGCTGAGGCAGGAGAATCGCTTGAACCTGGGAGAATCACGGAGGTTTCAGTGAGCCGAGATTGCACCATTGCACTCCAGCCTGGGCAACAAGAGCGAAACTCCATCTCAAAAAAAAAAAATTAGCTGGGCGTGGTGGTACATGCCTGTAACCCCAGCTTCTTGGGGATGCTGAGGCGGGAGAATGGCTTGAACCTGGGAGGAGGAAGTTGCAGTGAGCCAAGATCGCGACATTGCACTGCAGCCTGGGTGACAGAGAGAGACTTTGTCTAAAAAATAATAATAAATAAATAATTAGGCCTGGAGCGGTGACCCACGTCTGTAATCACAGCACTTTGGGAGGCCGAGGAGGGGCGGGGGGGAGGGGGGGACCGGGGATCACCTGAGGTCAGTAGTTCAGCTTGGCCAACATGTTGAAAAAAATCCCTTCTCAAAAAAATAATTAATAAATAGATAAATAAATTGAGGTGGGAAGGCAGCTGCCCTGAGCTAAGAGAACTGGCCCGCTGCTGAAGCAGGACCACGCATTTGATTGACAGTTCGCTTATTTGGGAGGCGTGGTCACGATCGGAAACTCCGCCGTGACGTCACAAAGGTTGGAATCTCCGCGAGAAGTGCTGTCTTCCTTTCACTTCCCACCCTTCGGGGTGTGGTCTCGAAACCACGCCTCTCCCCGTGACGTCAGCACGCACGGTGAGGTAGACTATAAAAGCTTCGCGGACGCCTTCCGCTTGCATTGCGTTGGTTCCCACCCCGATTGTTGATCACATGCTAGACGCAGCTCGACCCTGCGCCCGCTTGTCGCCCCCGCGCTTGAGGCAGCCGTAGATACTCTGAGTTCCCAGAACCCCAACGCCTGAGGGTGAGATGAACGCGCTGGCCTTCCTAGCCGTCCGGACCTGTGATCGCTTCTGGCAGCCCGAGCCGGCGCTCCTACCCCCCGGGTGACGCGCAGTCCCCAGCCGGTGAGTAAGGAGTCGGAACGCCTGGGTCCCCACGGGGCTGGGGGCACGGATTTAAGAAGGAGAAGGGGTTGGGAGCCTGGAGTCCTGAGCCTGATCTGGAAGTCAGATTCTTGGGTCCCTCTTGAAGGAATCATCTGGCAAGTGGGGGGTCGGGTCAGAATGTTTGAGTCTCCAAGAGAGGAGGGTGGGGGGGTTTGACTTGTCAATCTTCAGCAGGATGGGCGAGCTAGGGACTATGACCTTATCCCCAAGGGAAGCAAGTAAAAGACTTGTTCTTGGAACTGGGATTTCTGCGTCTGAGCATAGAGGAGGCTGGGGGCTTGGAACCTTGGATCTAAGGAAGAACTAGGAGCTCAGATTCCTGGCTCTTGAATGATGAAAGAGAATGGAGCCAAGGGACAGAGAGGGGAGTGGCTGAGGTCAGAAAGGAATTTGGAGCAGAGGCTCACGTTGCTGTTGACAGTAGTTGTGTTACTATTTTTGTTGCTATGACTCATAGTCATGCCCGAATGCCATCTCCTTAATGGCCCCTAAACTTTGTTTTTTTCCTCCCCTTTTCCAGCCCAGACACATGGCCCCAGGCCAAGCACCCCATCAGGCTACCCGCTGGAGGGATGCCCACCCGTTCTTCCTCCTGTCCCCAGTGATGGGCTTCCTCAGCCGGGCCTGGAGCCGCCTGAGGGGCCCGGGACCTCCAGAGCCCTGGCTGGTAGAAGCAGTAAAAGGAGCAGAAGCTGGCCTGGAGGGAGAAGCTAAGACTCCTCTGACAACCCCCCCTACCCCTTGGGGCAGATGGTCTGAAGAGAAGGCTGAAGACAGTGGATGCCCT